ACAAGCTAGTTATTGCAAGATCAGAGCTAGAACCCAAGTATCCAGACTCCAAGACCAATGTCCTTTCCCCTGATTCACTCTCCTAAATAGTGTCCACAGTAACTTGACCAGGTCTGTTCAGCAGGCTTTGTAAAATGTCAAGTTCAAATGAACCTGATTAATAATAATGAGATGATGTGGGCAGCTAGGTGGCAAAATGTATAGATCTCCAGCATTGGGGTCAGGAGGACCTGAGTTCAAATGTGACCTCAGACACTTGACACTAACCAGCCATATGACCCTGGGCAAGTCATTTAACCCTGACTGCTTCACCAAAAAGCAAAAAGTAATAATAATAATGAGATGATGATGATGATGATGATGATGATGATGATGATGATGATGATGATGCCCCCCCAGCTCCTATGCAAGTTGGAAGACACCTAAGCAAAGGCACAGAGATGGATGCTATCTCATTTTAACATGAGAAAATTCAAACAGTACTCCATTTCATAATTAAACATTTCCCTTGATGCATTTACATAAAATATTTCATGCTTAATTCTTTACTATCTATATTTACTCATAGAGAGCAAAATCTTTCCAGTTTTAAATTTTATGTTCAGTATTATAGCCAGGAAAAATAAGCATTTAATCCAGAGCAATGTTTATTTTCCTGTGGTCTACAAGTGCCTGGATTTGTTACTTTAATTATACCTGATAGGATTCTTAAAAGAAAAAAAGAATTTAAGGAATTAATTCCTTTAAATAAATAATTGTAAGAAACCAAACCCACCAGGCAATGAGAAAAAAAAAATTCAGATCAAATGCTGAGCTCTCCAAAATCAAGGAAGCTAGTTTGTATTACTCTGTAATTAGTAGTAATGCTTTGTGATATTTACCAACTAAACCAAGCAGTTCAGAATGGGAATAGTTTTTATTATGACATCATTGTTCAGGAGCCAGAAATCTGTAGACATGGTGCACAATGCTATAATTTCATTGTAACAACTCAATTTTCTGCCATGGCTTGCCTCAGGTGTACCTGGTATGATTATGATGGCATTTCTAAAGTCAGTCCTGAAGTATAAAATGATCTCTTTATTACTTCCAAACCCAAGAAAAAAAAATTGAAGGAGTTGATAGGCGCCTTTATTACCAAAACATGTAACTCATGTCATATGGGAAAATGAAAACCAAAATCCAATTTTGCTCTAATATAAAAGTTCTTATTATAGCAACACACATCACAGCAATTAAACATTATATACTGCTACGTTTTAGGGCTTCCCACTGCATTCAACTTCTTGCACAATTAAGCTATAAGTTATAATCACTCAATAATGACAAAATCCTGGTCTTTGCTATTGAAATCAATAACTGTTTTTTTCTAAGATTATCAGTTGAAGTTGTAAAGATTTAACTTGCTGGAGGACTCCTAGAAAAAGTACAAAGGTAAATTAAAAATTAAATGTCAAACATCCAGCTTGGAGAGAAATGTATCTCTAGATGCAACTTAACATTTTAAGAAAACTTTAATTGAAATGCATTATAGGAGGCTCTACCTGGAATAGATGGCTAAAGGTTTTTCAGAACTTAGCCAACTTTAATGCCTGCATGTCACCAAAAGCTGACAATTATCTGGGGGAAAAAACATTAGCTCTCACATAGGCAGTTTTTCCCTCTCAGTAGTCTTCCTTCATGACTTTACAAGAAGCTAGCATCATAGTCACTGATTGATTGGTCTATATTTGGATGATACACATGAAGATAACATTTTTAATTGGACAGGTCACATTTTTTTTGAATGCCAATTAAATTTTATTTAGCTCAATGAAAAGTTGGCACCATTTTCAAAGCTGTAGAGGCTAGTCTCCAAACAAAGGGCTCACAATAAGAACCAGCCAGTTCAATAACATACACTCATTTAGGCAGTTATTAGAATGCTGGTGTGTAAGAGCAAAAAATAAAATATGAAATAGCCTAGCTTCTTATCAAATATCTTCATATAGGACTTGTGACTTTTAAACTAGGATTTTGTCCTAGAAAATAGAATAATAATAATAATAACCAGAGGATGAGAGAATAGTAAAGATACTTTTCAAGTTCTTAACATTCTATGAATTCAGAAATTGGATAGTCTGTGCCCCACTCCACCCCTTTTTGTGTGTGTGGATCTGGAATTTCATCCCTGTGAGAATTCTAATGTGGAAATTCCTTCTGTCAATGTGGATCAACTCATCTATGACTTAAGAGTCCCAGAGAGTCCCCAGCCTGGGGAACTGAGAGGATAATTGACTTGTCTATGAAATGTATCAGAGGTAGCACTTGAACTCAGGTCTTCCTGGCGCAAAGGCAACCTTATACCCACATCAGACTGCCTCCCTATGCTCTATGTTGACTATTATATGAAAAGCAATTCATATGTCCAGTAGAATGCAAGGTCCTTGAGGGTCTTTTTGTCTTCTATAATGCCTTGAACATAGCAGAATTTAAGAAAAAAAAAGTTTGCTGAATTGACTTGTCTAATCGAGAGGAAGCATCATCATCACCTTTCAGCAACATTCTTTTTGCTATTTTGTTACAACCTTCTCCCATTTTGGGAAGGACCCCAGCCCAGCCATTGCATCCTTCATTTTCTGGACTTGGCCACCATTCCACATCTCCCCTGATCCTTGACCCCCTCATTTTCCTCTCCCCTCACCCTTTGACCTGTTTTTATGAGTTTTTCCAGGGTCCACACACTGAGGGCTGGGATTGTATTTTCCACTTGTATTTGTTCCCCTAGACCTTAGCACAGTACCTGGGGCATGGAAGTACTTAAGAAATGGTAGTTGATTGGCTGATGGATTATCATTCCTCATACAAGTTAAACTTCCATCATTCCTGGAGGCCTGTTGTAGTGTGACAGCATCTAAATTCTTTGAGTGGAGAATTTCATTTATTGGATTTTTATTCCCAGCAACCAACACGTAAATGTTTGGGGGTTTTTTTAAGAATTTTTTTGTATGAGTATCTCCAGCATGTCCCTGATCACAGTAGGCATTTAATAAATGCTTGCTGATTCATTGATAATAGATATCGCAATGAATTTGGAATCAGAAGACCTTCATTCTGCAGTGGGATTCAAATGCACTGGCCTTGACTTGGAATCCTGGATCTGCTATCCTCTATCTTCTAATAAATTACCTAAATCCCCTGAGCTTCAGTTTTATCACCAGCAATAGAGGTCCTTAACCTTTTTGTGTGTCATGGACTTCTTTTGGCGATCTAAGTCTATATTTTTTCTGTATGCCTTTCTCAGAATAATGCTTTTACATAATTGAAGGAAATGCTAAATCCAGTTAGAGTATTAGTGAAATTAAAGATGTAACTTCTTCCCATCCTGGTTCTTGGAAGGGGAAGGGTGGCCCAAGGACCCTAGTATAGGAACCTCTGGACTAAATGATCTCAGGTCGCTTCAGATTCGAAAACCTATGACCCCAAGACTCCAAGGTCATAGGATTTTGTTTAAGGAGTGGACAGGGATCTTTATTACCAAAACATTAGACCATTAGGTTCCGAGGAAAATTAATGGATGACTGAAAGCCTGACCACAACCTTACTAATTCCTGAAAATCAACAACAGGAAATCCAGCTGTCCTCCACCCTCGCTCGCCATTCATCAAAAGCACATCCAATCTGATCGGCACTTAGAGAAGGAAGAGGCAGCCAGCCAATGCCTGGGCCACTCTTAATTAGACTGGAAATGCCATTGCTTTCCTAAACCCATGGAGCTTCATTTAAGCACGGGAAATTCCTCTTTCCCCCTTCACCACCTCCCCGCAACCCTAGGGATACCCTGGGGAGGCAGAAGAGCTAAGCACACAGGGTTAAATTTGGAGAAAGCCTCTCTTTTTTTTCATGCTGGAACTAGGGCAGGGGCAGCAGGCTGGGCAGTGCCCCTCACCCCCTCAAGCAGGCTCCGGTCCCGCCGCCAGGTGTCCCACGCTTGGGGGCAGCTGCTGAGTAGCCTGTTCCCTCGCCCGGCCCTGCCGGCTCCTCTCGGGCCGGCCTCGGCGGTGGCTCGCCATTGGCCCTCGAGGCCAGCCGGCCCGGCCCGCCAGGGAGCGAGCGGGCGCGGTGGGCGAGCCGGGGAGAAGCGGCGGCGGCTCTGGGGTAACCAGCGCCGGAGCCAATGTCAAGTCCCCCGCACCCGCGCCCCTGGGGGAGCCTGGGCCTGTCCCGGCTGCGGTCCCTGGGCACCCGACAAGCTGCGCCCCACGCGCGCGGCGGGGCCTAGCCCCAGGCGCCTCTCGCCTCCCCTCGGCCCCCTGTCGCCGCTCGGGCAGCCGAACCGGGTCCAGGCTGACCCCCGAGCCCGAGGGCAGGGCCTGGGGGAAGGACGCAGCTCCCCGGGAGCCGGGCGAGCAGAGGCCCAGGGCGAGCTCCTCCGGCAGGCGCACCAACCGTGCCAGGGCGGCTCGTCCTGTCCCCAGCCGACTGGCAGGGGAGTCCAGGCCTGGGGAGCGACGACCCCCGCCCAGCCCAGAGACTCCGGGGCAGCCGGACAGACGTGATAGTCGGCATGGCCCCGGCCCAAGGACACAACCCCACTGCGGGGACGACAAGCGGCGAAGCGCGGCTCAACCTCCGCGTCCAAGGAGTCACCTCTCAGCGTCTACAAATCCAAAAGTGAAATTAAACCAACACCACCACCTCCAACCTCCTCCTCCTTCTCCTCTTCCTCCTCCTCCTCTGCCTCCTCCTCCAAGCACCCCGGGGAGCGACTGCAGAGGCAGCAGCTTCCCCTGAAATGCAGAGGATCCACCTTCGAGATGAATATTCCGGGGCCAGGGCATCTCCTGCCAGAATATTGTCAACCCCCTCCCCCGCTAACACAGAGGACACACAGACCCACGGACATGTCTTCATAGACATGCCCCCTGCGAGAATCCCCCAAACACACCAGCACACATAGAGAGACAGCCCCTCGCAAAGAGACACAATCGTTATTTGGAAAATAAATAAATAAATGTTACCTCTCTCTCTCTCACTGTGTGCTTGCTTGTTCAACGCTACCCGTGTAATCCCTGCACAAGTGTTGCTAAGGTTGTGTAAAAAAAAAAAAAAAGAAAAAAAAAAAAACGGAAAATGAAAACCGGTCAGTGGAAATAATCGCAGGAGCAAAACTAAAAGTTACTCCTTCGGCTTGCCTGAGAACAGTCCAGATCGAAAGCAAAACAAGGAGAGGAAACTGCAAAGAGCAGAGGCTGGAAATCCCCCTCTTCCCTCCTCCTTCCTCCTCTCTGCTCTCTCCGCCCTCCTCCCTCCGCCCTTCCTCCTCGGCCCTGTTTGTTTCGCCTTGTGCAACCAGGGAGGTGGGGAGAGGGGGGTTGGGACTGGGGAGAGGAGGAGGAAGAGGGTGGAAATCAGCCGGCCCAGGGAGAGGTGCGGAAGTTTGCCGCCGCCTCTCATTGGCCCACGGGGCTGCTTTCATCATTTCTCAGAAAAGTCAATTTCATTTTCACTTCCTTCCAACCTGCAACTGCAACACACAGGAGGGGGAGGGAAATCGAGAGGTTTCCATTCAGGCCACAATCAAGAAGCTGTGGCAGAAACTACCCGGCATCTCCCTCTCTAGCTGAGGTGAGAAGGTTTGAGAAGAGGGTGATTTGGCCAAGAGGGTGATCTGGGTGGGGCTTAGGGGAGGCAAGAGACTATTGTGTTTGATGAGGATACTGGGGGTTTTGTTTGGTTTTTGTTTAAGAACAGCAGATACTTTCTTATTTGGTGGATGGGCATTCCAATCATGGCAAACTAGCAGCTCCAGGCTTGCACCTCCTGTGGATTCTAATCCATCTTTTCCCATAAACCCTTCCTGGGATTCTTCCTAACTGATCCTTTTCGTATCTCCTAGGTACCAGTCTATCCACCACTTGAGCTGTGCATCTCTTGTCTCTCATTCTTGCTACTTGACCAGTAAATGCACCTACTTTCCCATCTAGATAGGTCTTTTTCTAATGTCTTTTAAACTACTTCTGGGGGCAAATCGTCTTTACTATCTAGTTATAGCCTATGTAAGCATTTTGTTGTTGTCCTGTTAAGTCGTGTCCGACTCTTCTTGATCCCGTTTGGCAAAGATACTGGAGGGGTTTGCCATTTCCTTCTCCAGTCCTTTTTACAGATGAGGAAACGGAGACAGAGGATTAAGTGGTTTGCCCAGGGTCACACAGATAGTAACTGTCTGAGACAAGATTGGAACTCAGAAGGATGAGTCTTCCTGACTTCTGACCCGGCACTCTAGGCACTGCACCTACCATGCCCCTTCTTTCTCTTGTCTTTTCACTTCTAATGCTGATTCTTCGGTGTTCGAGGTCTTCCTTTCATGGTTTGCAGTCATATAGCAACACCTGAGGTATTTTGGCGTTGAGATGGTGGGCTTTTTGTGGCAATGGATAGTTTGGAATCATTGAAAGCAGTTTGCAATTCAAGGAGGCTGCCCAGAGCACCGGCTGACATCAGAGGATCTGGTTTAACATCCGGTGATGCTAATTACCTGTGTGAACTTGGGCAAATCATTTAACCTCCCTTGCCTCAATTTCTTCCTCTGTAAAATGGGGATAATAGCACCTATGCGTAAAACAACATATGCAAAGTGCTTTGCAATCCTAAAGATACTATATAAATGGTAGCTATTATTATTGCCCATTAATGGTGTAATATGATGGACTACTGACCTAGCTCCAAGACATAGCTTGGACAGTTTTTTCTGCCATCTGTTTCCCCAATGTGTATGGTAAGACCCATTTTTTTTCACATTCCTGTTAATTTTACTGACAATGGCTTTGTAATGCTCCAGGACTCAATACAATTTGCAATGAAAATAGGATTTGAAAAATCTCACCACCAACCGACAATCCTGTTTGGGATTAATAATAATAATTATAATGACTCAAATTTATGTAGCACTTTGAGGCTTGCAACATGTTTTATTCTATATTTCATTTGATCATCTCAGAAACTGTGAGGAAGATGTTTTTATCCCCATTTTACAAATGAGGAAACTGAGGCTGAGAGAAGTTAAATGACTTTCTCACATTCATGCAGCTGGAAGGTCTCTGAGTCAGAATTTGAACTGACTCCAAAGCAACACTTTTCATGAAGGATGCCAAGCTCCAAGACACCGGCAGACACTGCAGACAAACATGCTTCTCCCTGTTTGATACACCACTTGATCTCAGTATTAAGTGAATCATTGAACAAGGTCATCTTTGTAGTTATATCTACCACAGAGATTTTTTTTTAATGGTTATTATGTACCCATGGAGGTACCTTGTGCAAGCATAGCCTTCAAGACTGTATTTGCTTTGCTGAGTCAAATGCTTTCTTAAAATTGATAAACAAATAAAAAATCTGTGGGATCTTATATCTTCTAAACCTCAGCCTGTTGTGTAACTAAAAATGTGCTCTGCTGTAGAAAACTGTCCACACGAGTCTGTGCCTTTCTAACATTTTTTGTTGAGAATATTCTTGATGCATACTAAGGGTGGGGAACCTTCGGTCTCAAGGCCACTTGTGGTCCTCCAGGTCCTCAAGGGCAACCCTTTGCCTGAATCCAAACTTCACAGAACAAATTTCATTCTTATGACAATTTTATACAGATGAAAGAATGGAATAGTCACTGTTGAAATTATACAGCCAGTGTGGATCTCAGTATGTAACACAAGAAAAGTCTATACCCTTTGTCTCAGCAATCTCACAATTGATTATATATCTGGAGGAAGTCAAAGACAGAAAGAAAGCTCCATTATATACTAAAATAATCCTAATAGCTCTCTATGTAGTAGTAAAGATCTAGAAACAAAGTGAGTGCCCACAAATTGGAGAATGGGGGTGGGGGGGTAACCTATGGTATATGAGTAACAGAATATTATTGTGCAATAAGAAATGATGAATAGGAAGAATTCAGAGAAACACAGAAAGGTTTTCATGAACTGATACAGAGTGAAATAAGCAGAACAAGAGGACAATATACACAATGACTACAAAAATGTAATAGACGAAAAGCCCGGGAAGGTCTCAAGGGACAGAAGAGGTCTATCTCCCTTTCATATCTAAGAAGCAGGAGGCTCCTGGGTCAGAATATTGTATACCTCATCAGATATGGTCACTGGATTGAATGTTCTTCATTTGTTGTTTTTCTTTATCACAAGAAAAGGATCAAACTGAGAGGAAATAGGGAAGTGGTTTAAATGACTGCAATGAGGTGATTAAAACAAAAAGAAATTATGACTTCAATGTGAAGACAAAAGGCATCAAAATATTTTTAAATAAATAAAAGGAAAAAATGGCAGGGGTAGGGAGGGGAAGGAAAGGTTTTGTAAAGATGGGAAGTATCAGTAGCTTCTCAATTGCCTTATTTTGTCATTAAAAGTACTGGCTGTGATCTTCAGTTTCTTTTGGAATCATTATTTTCCTTTTTTGGGGTATCTTGAGAATTGATCCCTGAATGATTTTAAAGTTAAATCATCTCAGCACAGATTTCTTCTGTATATATTTGGTCAGGGTCTAGCTGCTCATCCTGATTTCATGTTCTTAAATTACCATTCCTGCTTCCCTGCATAGTGCATCAGGTACTAAGATGGTAGGGTATAACTGTGTTAATTATATTACCATTGCCTATGAGAATAGAAGATTGTCTAAATGTGAATTATCATTATTAAAATGCCAACAAATCTGTTCCTTTTGTTTTCCTTATGAACCCATCTATGGAATAACAAGGCTTAGCTGTATCTCAAATCTAGCTCCTGGTCTTCTGAAGAGATGGAGGACTGCCAGGCCTTACTGGTAGTTCTGCTACTGCCTCCTAATATCCTTCAAAACTTAGCATCTGCCTTGCCCTACAAGATTCCTGAGAGTGTGGGTTTAACTCCATGTGTAATCTAAGGATCTTTGGACCTTACCATCTCACCATCGTTACCTTTAGAATTTGCTGGCCTTTCCCATCTGCCCTACAGCTGAGCTTTCTTTGATGTGTTGTTTCCCTGAATTAGACTATGAACTCCCTGAAAATAAGGCATGTGTCAGTTTTTCTCCTTGTATTCCCAGCACCTAGCATAGTGCTTGACACATAGTAGGTACTTAAGATTTTTTTTCATTCATTCTTTGTTGCCTCTTTGACTACTTTTTAGGAGGGATGTGCATGTGTGTGTGTGTGTGTGTGTGTGTGTGTGTGTGTGAGGGAACCCTGGTACTATTTAATCCTGCTCGGTAATGTTTTTCAAATGAGGTTGTACTCCAAATCAGTGTTGCTCTTGACTGCCAATGTAGTGCCATTTGGCAAGTTTTCTAGCTGAGGTGGTTTCTGGATGCTTTCAATATCTACCACATGATAAGTTTTTTTATCCATTTAACTTTTACAAAAGGACAAGAATTCTCAACCTTCATTTTTGTCCATTTCCCATTTTTTTCATAGTTGGCAGCTTGTTTTAAAAGGTTGGATTGGAACTAGTATAATTAGAAGCAATATTCTCTTATCTTCATTCTTTCTTTTAATACTTCCCGAACCTGCTCTCTAACCATCTGATGATCTGAACTCATATAATTTTGAATGTTTGCTATATTTATGTTTACTGACTTTTAGGAGATATTCAATTTCATTTTATGTCACCACAACCAGGGATTTTTAACTTTCTTTTTGTAAAAAGTGTTCATGATATAGACATCAGCCTACAAATCTTTGGCTCTTGTCTGCTTTCATTCTGAGAAAGATTTTCCAAGATATCTTGCACTGACCTCCCCAGAACTACTTTCACAATAAAGTCATATGTTGACATGGCTTAGAACACCTTGTCAAATTCTTCATAGAATTTGTCTTTTTAATCTCCTGCAACTGCTATTGGTACTTACTGTTGTTTAGTTGTTTTCAGTCATGTCTGACTTTTTGTGACCCCATTTGGGGTTTTCTTGGCAAATATACTGGTGAGCCTTGCCATTTCCTTCTCCAACTCATTTTACAGATGAGGAAACTGAAGCAAAAGTTAAATGATTTGCCCAGGGCCACCCAGCTAGTAAGTATCCTAGTTCAGATTTGAACTCAGTAAGATGAGTCTTCCTGACTCCAGGCCCAGCACTCTATGCACCATGATGCCACCTACCTGCCCCAGTTTCAGTCGTGTCCAGCTCTTCATGAGCCCATTTTTAGTTTTTTTGGTAGAGATACCAGAATAGTTTGCTGTTTCCTTCTCCAGCTCATGTGACAGGTGAGGAAACTAAGGAA